CTCATTCCGCGACTGAGTCCTCCCGTCAACACCCACCCCCCTTGACACTGTCCGTAAAAAAAATGATAAAACAATCAGCGTTCAAGTATGCAGCATACTAGGATTTATAATGGAGAATTTTCTTAAGTTTCTTACTTTCAGTTTGGACAAAACATTAACAAGACAGGGTTGCACATAATTAATGCTCAGGAAGTAATCCCCAAAAAGGGATGTATACAAGCAGGTCCAATGATGTGTCATTCCACAGCTTCAAATCCTCACGTTTAGCTCACAATAGTAAAGGTGATGGAGCGATGTATGTGTGAGTCAGAAACGAAGGATTGAGGGAGGCAGAGAGGGAGAGAAAGGGAGGAAGGGGATGACAGCAGGATAGGTAGGAGTAGAAGGAGGTGGGTAGGCCGTGTGAGTGAGAGGAGATAAGTAGGTTAAACTTCCTGAGCTGAAAATAGCTATCTTCTCCATCACATGGTAGCTGAGCTTCCCAGGGGGAGCCTGGCCATGCCCGGGCCAGCCTGAGCACGCTCTTTCTAATCTGTGCTGTGTCTGGGTTTCACACCGCGGCCGCGCTTCTCACCCCGCTGCCGCAGAATGCCACCACATCCCTTTTTCCAGCATGTGGGGCATTTGTGGGACAAACTGTGGCCTCGGGCTTAACGCGATTGTTGGTTAGTTTCAGTCTCTTTGTAGAGCGGTTTCCTCTGTGCATTTCCTCCTTTGTAGCATCCCATTATAAGATGATTTGTCTAATCAGCTTTCTCAAGTCCTATCACGCAATTTGACCCCTAGGAAAAGTTGAGAAATTGGAGAGTTTTGGTCATATAAGTCACCCGTAGTGTGTTATCCTTCATATAGAGGCATAATACAGGGTAATAGTTATCATGTCTAATGTGTCAGACCTCAAAGAACAAACGTCTCTGTATCCCTTTGACCTTCCACTCTACATGTATCAAACAAAATCAGTGTCTGTTGCCCCCCCCCACACCCCATTCATCCTATCTCTTCCCTGTTTCCTGGAGCGGATGCTCATCATATGCTCTCTTTTCATTTTTTTATGGCTCTTCCTTCTTATGAAGCCGTTTTGATTATGTTTCACCTCCATTCTCCTCCCTGAGTGTTTGAGTGCACGCCGTATTGGTATTCCAGCCGATTCACACTTTCCCCCTGGAGAAATTGGCTTCCTTTGATGGGCTGGGGAACGAAAAGAAAAAAAACACTAAAAGGGAAGCTTTGACTTTCTCCTGCTTTTCTTTCTCCCCTATCTGTTTCTTCCCCTTCCCCCCTTTTTTCTTTCCACTTACTTGTCCTTAACACATCCCACTGCATCTCTCTCTGAATTCCTCTCCTACTCATTCTTTTCACGTTGCATTCTTGATTCTCTCTCTGAGGGAGTGAAAAAACTCCTCTTTGGTACACCGGCCCTCTGCAGTCAGCTTGTAAAGACACAGGCATACACTCTTGCAGCTTAAACACTTGCTTTCAATTACTTAGCGCATCTGCCCGGATCTGCCTTTGTATGCGAGCGTGTGCTTTGCTAGATATATTGCGCAGTTTGAACGTGCATTGAGGAATCTTCGGGATGAAAGGGAAGGACTAGGGCCTCCGTGGGGGGTAAATTGAGGTAAATTGCATGATTGAGAACGTGGAATCGGGACAAACATCAAGCCCATTTGGGTCGCTGCGGGATATGTGATTTACATGCAGTTTCATTTGTCTGTTCACCATCCTTTCAAAAGCCGCACCCCGGGAGCAGAAGTGGACCACAGAGCTTAATTATGCTGCATGGTCCAGTTCCTTTACGCCTGCAGTCCAGCCTGAAATATACAGCGGATATATTCACCTCGCTGGCTGTTGGTTAGCCGCACGTGTCAGTCACAGTAAATCACACTGAACTGAGACTATTATTATTATTATCCGTAAAAAGCAGAGTTAAAGCTCCATAGGTCACCCCAGTGCTTCAGATACATGCAGTTGGTGTTACAAAAGGCAACATTGAGAGATGGGTAATTACTTGTCACTCCCCACCTCTATTTATGTTAACAGAATCTTATACTTATAATTAAAGGTAATTGCATGTAATTAGTGGGAACCCTCCAAAGGGACTGTAAGAGTTAATAGAAGCGCAAAGTACTATGCCGGAAATATGCCAGCGGTTACTTTAATGTGTCCAGGAAAATAGACAGGATTATGTTTTTGTCTCTCTCTCTGTCTCTCTATGTCACTCTCTTTCTCTCTCTCTCTATCACACTATGTGGCTTTTTATCTCTGGATATGTCACATGACAGAAGCTCCATTTGACCTGTATCATGATAAAAATGTGCTTTGTTGACCAAGATCGACCACTGCGGTTCACAAAGAACCTCGTATTAAATATTAACACCCCCCCCCCGCCCATCTCTCCCTGATCTTTCCCGTTTAGGACATGGGTCCTACCAGCATGCCCTCTGTGCCCCTCATGGTGGGGTGTGGGGTCTCCTGCACCGCTCTGCTCATCCTGCTGCTAATCTACGCTGCCTTCTGGAGGTGAGTGCGCATGCTCACGCGCTTATTTGATGGTGTCTGTGCTCGTCTGTCTATTTCAGGGCAATTGTTTTGGTCATTCTCTAATGCAATTTCAGAAAGAGGTTTTTTTTTTGCGTGTGTCATCTGTGGAAGCCAGAACTGCTTTGAGGCCTAATATGGAACAAATGTTCCAGCGAAAAGCAGGCAGTGGTGATGATTATCCCTTTTTTTTTTCCTTCTTTGTTTTGGCAACACACATGACAGATGGCAAAATCAAGCTAATGACTGCATTCTCTGAAAGGCCACCATCCAACCCATCCGTTTGTCAATAACGCTTATCTCACCCCAGTCCTCTTTGGCTCTTCTTCATCCTCTGCTTTGCAGGTATATCCGATCGGAGAGATCAATCATCTTGGTGAATTTCTGCCTCTCCATCCTGGCCTCCAACTTATTGATTTTGGTTGGACAATCTCAAACGCTCAGCAAGGTGAAGCCACACACGAATACTCAGAGAAAATGCTGTTCCATCTTCATTGCGACAGACTTTCCATGTGAAAATACTTTTTTCTGACTTCAGTGTGCTCCTTTGTTTTGTTGAGGCTCCACTTTTCCTTACTGACTCGATTCTCTCAGTTTCTCTTTTATTTTTGATGCTTATGAAGGCCCTTCCATCTCAGTCTCTCTCTCTTTTGATCACTTTCTTTCCACTTTAGGGCATCTGTACGGTGACCGCGGCCTTCCTGCATTTCTTCTTCTTGGCTTCTTTCTGCTGGGTGCTAACTGAGGCGTGGCAGTCCTACCTGGCTGTTATTGGCAAAACCCGCTCACGACTCATTCGCAAGAGATTCCTGTGCCTCGGCTGGGGTACGCCACACACACACATTTAATGCTTGATTATAGGAGGATGGCACCGCCACATTTGTACGTTCTCAAAGCTCATTGGCTGTGGGGCTTTTTGGCTTCTAACTACATGAACTGTGTATCTTATTGCTTCTGTTTCCAAATAAGCTGAAATCTTGTGGGGGAGGAACCACATTATGTACCACAAACGTAGAAGAATGAAGCAGAAAAAAGGCTAAACACACAAGTTTGACAGTAAAGCTGAAGACTCCTTTACTGAAACATTTTTTTATATAAGACTTAATAAAAAATTATACGGGGGTGTCTGTATATCATGAACCGTTAGCACTCACTTGTAGAATCATATATTTCCAAGTTGTAAAGATCTTTTCTATTTGTTGTATTTTATCATATGTTCTTCAGTGTTCTACTTTTAAAGCTGCCCCCAAATAGCAACTCGAAGGCCTACAGTTCAGTTTAGGCTTTTTCTTTACAGCATCTCGGCATCCCCAGGGCTATTGTTTTGAATAGCAAACCCCTATGTTATTAGACTTGGTTTCATGGTGGCATACACTTCTCTCAGCTCCTAATAACAAGGTTTGCAGTTCCTCTTAGTGGAATTCTCAGCTGTCCCTGTGTGCCAAAGATTTTTCAGCATTGCAAATGAAGACACTTTCATAAATTGAGTGCTGATTGAACCACTGTTGTGTGGCATGCATTGGTGATGGAGAGCAGCAGGACAGAGTTATTTTACATAAAATATAACAGCTTATTACGTCGGAGTATTGAAATTGTTGCCCGTATTATGCTTGACAATCTTCATTCTCCCCATTCCCATTTCGTCCCATTTGTCTTTTCTGTAGGCTATTATTTGCAGCTCGATTTCCCGAAAGCCATTTATTACAGTTTCTGATGTATACGTTTTTGTAATTTAGCAAGATATGAATATCCTATGCACGTCCATTTGTGTGGGATGTCATTGTATCAATTGGAAGTAGGCGGATTGTCACTCCTCGGTGCCGTTCGGCTGTGCGCCACTTCTTCCATTCAGCCTCCCTGTCACCCCATTATGCCATCCCTTCAATGTACTACAACTTGGTGCAACAGCCACCTGGGATGTTAGGGACATAATCAAAGTGTATGATAACATCTGCACGACACAGGCAAGATGCTTCGAGATAGCTCTGCAAATTGCAACCTTACAGCCCCACCGCAAACAGACACATGCACAATCTGCTCATTTCACTCCGTATTGATCCCACTAGTCTAATCTGCCAAGTCACTGATGCCCTTAGCTGATAGAGGCAGAGGAATGTATAGTCTGCTGTACAGACACAGATGGGCAGATACCTGTGAGTGTATTTTGGGTACAAGGTGGCTGCGGCAGAACCATCCGCCACTCATGTGGATACATGCAGCCCGCATGGAACAGCCCAAACCGTCCGATTCCACTTGGTTGCCATGGAAATAGGAGGTTTGGGGTTTGACTGGGTATGTTTTAGAGTCTTCCAGCCTAACACACAGGTGTGTATTCACCATATTATAAACAAGTAAATGCAAGATGGATGTTGTTGTTGACTAATTGAAAGTACGCGCGGGCTGGTTAGTGGACCGGCCTGCTTTCCCACCATCTTATTTATTAATGGTAATGGGACTTTTCTAATTGCTTTTCATTTGCAGCCATAATCACAGCTTTGTTAATTACATGAATATTTCAGAGCCAAGCTCATTATGAGCACGGCATATTTCCTTCCTTTTCCTGGCACGCGCTCCTTGACGCTCAGTCTTTCCTACCCATGCGCACGGATGCACGTGCACGTGCATTTAGCTAATGAATTCCTGACTAGCTGACCACTCCTGGTTTTGACCTAGCCTTCTTTTTAAATTGCCTTTCGCTCTCTGATTCCCACATGCTCGCAGTGCATGCGTCAGCCCCATTTGCACCTAGGACTAATGGCCGCCTCAGCCCTCCGTTGGCTTCAAATATGGAGACGCTGTGGGGTTACCTGTGGAGTGCACAGTCACTTTCAGTCATATATGCACATGTTACATGCGGTTGCAGGGCTGCTTTGCATTCGAATGGGAGGAGCCCCATGAAGTTCTTTGCACCGGAGAATCTTAGTTAGTCGACATGCTCCATCGTCCCCATTAGGGCTTCCTTTCATCCCCCGTCTCAGGCTTTTGATCTTCCTTTCTTTCCCCGTTTGTCTGCAGGTCTCCCAGCCCTCGTCGTTGCAGTGTCGGTGGGTTTCACCAGAGCAAGAGGGTACGGCACAGCTAGCTAGTGAGTACCGCTTTCCGGACCTCCTGCTTCGCCTCACGTGCTAATCAAGCAGTTCGGATGTCGTCACTTAAGACCTGCTTCCTCGTCTCTCTTAGGAGGAGCTGGAGGCATTGCATCATTTACTGTTGTTGCAAAAACATGCAAAGTTTAGCTTTTGTTGTCCTGATTTACATCCTGCAACAGGTGGTGATAACTTCAGTGAAAAGTCAATCTGTCCTGTTAGCAGTTAAAAAAACTGCATATTTTTCACTCTATTTCTTCCGTTTCACGTCCTCTAGAGAGTTGGGCTTGTTTTGTGTGAGGCACCTTAACTACTTATTTTGCTCAAGATATTGCTACCGATGCCATAAACAGAAAACATCATCAAGAATCCACTCGATACACATCATAAAACATGGAAATTGTCTTCAAATTAGAAAATAAAATTATCCCTGTAACTTTAAATATTTAATAAAGTTGACAAGTTTTTAAAAGGAACATCCCAGGGGTGTTGAAGCTTATTAAATCCTCCCTCTAGGCAGTGATTAACCCCCCCCAAAACGATTCATTTTTCATGGAAAATGCACATTAGTTTTTTTTTTTTTATATAACCATCTGAGTTTGAATGACTGAAATGCAACTCCTCACCTTTGTTTTATTTAGTATCTGCATTTCTGCATATGTAAATTAGCTCTTTCCCCTGCGCCACCCTTGATTTGGTCCCAAATTAACTCTGCTTTTCTGCTGTTTATGTAACTTTCTCTTTTTTGGGGCTGAAATTAGGATGACAGAAAGGTTTCTGCATGCTCTGGTGACACTGCTGCAGGACATGTTTTATTTTATTAATTCTTGATAGTCCTCACACCAAATTAAGTTTATGTTACAAATATTTTAGGTCATGCACTTAATTGATCTGTTAAGTGCTGAGGACATTTTTTAGACAAATGCTGTCACGGTCAACAATTAATTTTGAGTAAATGTGGCACTTGTGTTGAAGTACTTTGCGCTCAAGTCAAATGTGAAACCTCATTCTCTTTTGTTCTCCAGCTGCTGGTTATCTCTGGAGGGCGGCCTGCTTTACGCCTTCGTTGGTCCTGCTGCTGTCATTGTGTTGGTGAGTCCGTCCACCGTTCTCTCTCCTGCTCTCGGATCAACCATCCTCCACCCTTTGCTGGTCACGCCGCGTAATTCTGCAAATATTTCTCCTGAGTTAGACCCCGAGCTCTGAGCTTTAAAGCTGTGTGGTGACCTCTGAGGATTTTCCATTCCCGAGCGCGCACGCACCCCGGAGCACCGCGCGCGGGCAATGTGCACGTGAAAATGATGAGCCGAGCACTTTGATCCTCGAGTTTGAAATGTCAGAACCAGAAAAAAAAGCCCTGAATGCGGTCCAGCTGACAAGACCTTTCGGCAATGCAGCGCATGTCTGGGGTGAAAATAGCCAAGTTTCCAGCCCTGAATCTCTCAGCCTGATTTGTTCTCTTAAAGCATGAGTCACTGTACCCTCTGCTCATATAGACATAAAGACATAAATATAGGCCTAACTGTTTGTGCCACAAACACAAATATGTGCACTTTGTTTTTCCTAATTGCTTTAATGCAAATTTTCAGGTTTACGAGCAGGTCTAAATACAGCTCTGCATTGTCCTACACGGAGCACATTGATTGCATCTCAGTGGTACTTTAATCATTTGTTTTTGTGTGTTGCTTTATGTGGCCGAGCTAATATCTCCCAAATGAATCCCTGGGTGGATATTTCCACCACCGTGCTGAAAAGGTCTGGACGGAAAACACTGCACACCAGATTGGTTATCAGTGTTTTTGTTGGGCGGCACGCAGTAGATGGCCTGTTTTCATCTCCAAACTCCCAAATATTGCGAAAAAAGATTGACTTTAAATTGACTTCAAGTGCACCAGGAAGTAAGAATCAGATAGCATCACAGGTGTGGAGAATGATTTGCTGACTCTTTTTAGATAAATGACTAAGACAGGGAATTCAAAATTATATAGAGCTCGATATTGATTGCTATGATAACACGGTGGTTGCAAGGCCACTAAATAGTGAGAAAAGGCCGCACATTGAAAAGAAATGTACTTCATTACCTAAAGAAGTAATTAAGGCATTCAGCCCTGAGGCACCCTCTAAGCAAGGAAACTCTAATGCTTGCATCCTGCAGTTTATAATACGTAAAAGCCTAGCATGAATTGCTGGTTCTAATTGGTGGTTCTCCAACACAGCATTAAACGGATGCTTTTTCTGAGGAAATGATCGCTACATGTATCGAAAATTGCAATATTAACACGCAGTTACTAGTCATTGACGTGGCATTTAAGGGTCTTGGTGCGGAAAAAGGTTGAATCAATTAAATAATTCCAACAGGAGAACCAAACGGCTGAATTGTTTTTGAGTTTCTTGGCTTGTTTTGAGTTTCTTGGCTTGTTTCTTGGCTAAGTTACCACATTTTCTCCCTCCATGATGTGGAAGTCAGTTCTCGGGCACCATGGTGGCGTCGCTAGGGTCCCCGTCTCTGACAAACAGCTGTAATGAGAGGGGAAAGTCAGGCGCAGGAACACGGACCTTCCCGTAGGACTCTTCTCTAATTAATGAACCTGGCTCTGGGCAGACATGGGAGCGTGATGATGCTGACTCACAGCTCGGGGGTCCAGACATGACTGGCATGAGAATCGCTGCTCTCGTAGCTTTACAAGTCGCAGTCAGCTCTCAGGGGCGACACACCGCCGAGAGCAGGAGGGATCAGAGGGGAGGAAGTGTTTTTTTGGCAAATTGTGGAAGCTGCCAGATGAATCACATGGCAGACGCCGCAAAGAAGCGGGCTTCAAGTGGAAAGGCGGCTCTCACAGAAGCTGCCGAATCTGGGAAATCCAGCTGACCACATGAAAGTTGGACTTTCTGACTGCTCAACTCAGCAGATTTCTCGCGGCACATTCATTGAACGCATAAAAGTCGCTCTCTTAGCCAGGGGCTGCTGCTGTTGACAGCTGAAGGAAAGAATCCGTGCAAACTTTGCTGCCTTCAGAAGCCTGATAAGAATTTGAATGCACAGCGTACACACGGTAGGTGTGAATATAACTTGTCGCTGACGCGCCTCAACGCTGACATTCCAAAGAACACAAGCAGAGGAGTGATCAAAGACTCTCCAAAGGAACCCATATCTGCAGGAAGAAAGTCTAAGGGTGGATGTTGAAAATCAGGATTATATGAAACATGTCACCGCCAAAGAAAATCTCCCAGATGGACACGATTTCCGAGTGGAAGAGATCTGCAAGTCGTTGCGTAGATATCTGTCTGTGTGGGACTCCAATAGAATCTGTATCACAGGATCAGTATAGCCAGATGTGTGGGGGGCTTAACTATAAACTGCTTATTCGTATGTGGAGTAAAGAGAAGAAGTAATCAGTGTCCTATATTCATAATTTTCTACATTTATCCAGCTATGTGTGGGTTTCAGTATCTATTCGTTTATGCATTCTTTCACAAATGGAGTGATATATTGCAGGACATTTTTCTTTCATTTTCAGATAATTTCTTTGTATTATTTCTCTTTCACTTAGTCCCTTTTAACTGGGAAGATTTCTACCGATGCTTTTGCCTTTCCTCCCTCAGAATTCACTACTGAGCAAAAGATGTAGAGCGACACAGAAATTATTTTGAAATTATAGTATTTCAACACTCTTTTTAAACATATGTATTTACTTTTGTATCGTATCATCCCATTATTTGGGATGCCTTTTGTTTGGCTTTGGTCACTTTGGAAGAAAAAACAACAAAAACTTTGAGCACTTCCTAACAATTCTAATAGCAATAAATAACAACTTGAAACACAGAATTTGCAATTTACGGCTGTTTTTTAGTTTTTTTAAGTAAGAGAACATTAAACTAGGTGTGGATAGAGCGTAATTTGGCTTATTTATTTCCAACGTGAAGCAAACTACTTTCTGCTCATTCACACTATTATTTATTCAGCCAAAAGCACAACAGAAGAAGCAACAGAAAAAGTATTTTCACTTTGAAGTGCAGCTCATGCAGATGGATCAGTGTTGGAACCAAAAACAGAACAGCTGGATATTGCTTTTTCCAACTACAACCTCATCACCCTGGACATCTTAATGTCTCCCTGAATGAGACATTTTGAGATGAAGGCAGTTAAGTGACAGGGTATTTGAGCTTTTATGCTTCTAAGCGCTTTTGGTTTAGTTTAGTTTTGGTCTTCTTCCTCTTTAACACCAGCGTAAGGAACATGCCATCACAAACCGTCATTTAGAAAAAGCACATACTGCATGTCTGTCCTGATTTGTTTTAGCCTTGTATCTATCCAAATATTAATCTAAAAAAAACTTGTGGTGCCTTTTCATTTGTTGAAACTGCTTATCGGTTTTCTTATCTCTTCCTCTCTCAGGTGAACATGCTCATTGGGATCGTGGTGTTTAATAAGCTCATGTCTCGAGACGGCATCTCGGACAAGTCTAAAAAGCAGCGAGCAGGGTAGGTTTGCTTTTGTACACACACACTCACACACACACACACACACACACACACACACACAAACAAACTACCCACTCATCCACCTCCACAATTCTTGGGAGAAAAATTGACAGCAAATCTGCCATATTGGATGCATTTTTCCATCTGCCAGGCAGCATTTTCACAGCAACACACTGAAGCAGCTTTCAGGGGGACTCTGCACAAACACCTACACTACACCTGCATCTTCACTAGGAGGGAAAATGAAGAAAATAGGATTTGGTTTGGCGAGGAAATGACGAGACATCTATTGTGCTCTGTTGCTCTTTGAGATCAATTTCAGCATCCCTTTCGCATACAATTGCCATCTATTTTTTCTCAGTCGTGTAAAACAGAGGAACATGAACATCAATGGCAGTTGGAATTGTAGTTGAAAAAAGTAAACAGACTATCGATGAGACCTTTTTTGACTGAAAACATGAGTGCGCATGATTTTCATACCTGTGCGGCAAGCATGCAAATGCATCCAATTACCACATAAAATCTATTAGAGCAGTTAGCAGGCATTCATCATCTTTTCCAATTCCTATTGGAGACCGCCCGGGGATCCTGCAGCCTTAACCCTTGTCCTCATTTTCACATCAATTGATTTAATCGACTCCTGGCACTTTTTTTTCCCGCCTCTATCATTGCATTTCCACCAATGGGCCTCAATCCACAAATAGATAGTTTGTTTATAATGGAACAGGTTAGAAGTACAGATTGGCTCTCCGGGGGGCTGATTAGCTGTTTTTAACTGCGAGATTAAACCCATTTTTGTGTGGAAACGTGTCTAAAAAAAGACACCGGCGCTATTCAGGCAGGTGTGGCCACCTTTGTTCCTTTTTCCCCAACAAATTCACGCTCGCGAAAGGCCTGACTTTCTTGACCCACTAACAGGAAAGACTGTCATTTGCGTAATACATTTCCATATGAAGCCACGGGGAAGTGGCTGGCGCCGAGGCAATGAGCTGTGATGGGATGCTAATGTTGCGCGGTCCGGGCACGGCTCCATCATCCCCCCACTCGTATGTAATCGTACGCACACGCACAGCACAAACACGTGCACTGATGCACTTCCCCTCCATCAGCTGTAAGTAAACAGCCAGGGCAGTCTTCCTCTTCTCGTTCAGCCTCATAAAGGCCGGGTTTGTAACCCCCCCCCCCCCCCCCCCCCCCCTTCACACACACCTGCGTGTATCAGCAGTGTACTGCAGTGGTTAGTGTACTCGGTGTCCATGTCACTGTAATCTGTTAATCCACACGGCTGTTGTGACACCAGTGTCCATCGCTCACGTTCTCTCCACTTGCTTTCGAAATCGATTTTTTGCACTCTTGACTGTTTTTCATTGCTGCTACTTTTAAGATCTGGCTTTAATTTACCGTTCTTTCTTTCTTTCTTTTTTCTCCCTTCCCTCCTCTCCCTTTTTTTCTTCACCACCTCCTTCCGTTGTGTCCACTTTTCATTTGACATTCTCTCTTTGTGTTGCCACCCCCTCGCACTCATCCGTCACCACTGGTGCTCGTGTCTCCACCTGCCCTCCCATCCCGTCCCCCCCCCTCCCCCTCCCTTCCTCCCTCACATGGCCGTGTGTTCATGTGCGTCTGTCCAAAAGTGTCCCGGCGGAGGCGCGTAGCCGACTGCTCCTGAAATGCTCCAAGTGTGGCGTGATCTCGAGCACCGCCATGTCCAGCTCGACTGCCAGCAGCGCCATGTTAGTCCATCTTCATCTCTCTGTCACTCTATATCTCTTTACGTCTCTGCCTCTTACTGTCACCACCTCTTCTGTCCCTCGTCTTTTAGTGTCTGGCTGTCTGTGATGATGCAGGATAGCATTGAGACTCAGGAAAAAAAGAAAAAAAAAGTTGTTACACCCTTTTTAATAAGTTAGGATCAAAAGTGATTTCTCCTTTAGAGGTTCTTTTAAGTCATTTGCCGTGCATCGTGCCAAAGGCTTAACCCATCAGTCCAATGTTTACCAAGTTGTCGATTGAACAAACCAAACTGCTGTTAAGCTCGTTACTGTAATGACTCTTATAGCCTCCTACATACCTAACCCCTTTAAACGGGTGGCGGTAACTAAGCATCCGTCTTCACAAGACAACGAAACAGCTAAACATCGAAAGTTTCTGACTTTTTTTTCTCCTCTTTCCATGAGCTTTGGTGCTAATCAGTGGGTGCTGCACAGTTTCAGCAAACATCTGCACAAATAACAATCTTATCTGATTAAGCCGAGATAGAATTAAATAAAAACGAAGGCTGACAAATAAGACACTTGGAGGAGTGTGATGACGTAAAGTACAAAGCAATTAAATTCATTGCAAAACAAAGGGGAAAAAGAATTAGAAGAATGAAAAAAGCAAAATAAGAATGATAAGAGCAATCAAAATTGCAAGCAGACAGCTGGAAGTCGGATAAAACACAATTAAACTTCACTTGCCCTGAAGGGAGCCAAATGTTTCCTTTTTTCCATTTTCTTTTTTTTTTTTTACATCTTTACATCAACTGCAGGTGCACAGTTAACTGAACTGGATTTAGCAGGTTATGTAAAAACAGCAGCCATCTGCAAATTGATCCAATCGCTGAAGCACTGTAAATAAAGAAAGTGTCTTGGAGACGATGAATACACCGGATGGCACTAACCAGTTTTGCTTTGAAGTTTAAAAAGTCTTTAGAAAGACAATAAAAACCACAGAGATTTTGAGAAATGTGGCATTTGCAGTAGAACAACAAAATCTCGTAAGAATGCTTAAAGATGAGGATGATTTGCGCTCAGCGTGAGCTACTCATATTGCAGTAACTTTGTTAGCTTTATGGAGGATCTGCGCTAAATTACAGGCCTTTAATGTAAACCTCACCCACGCTGTACATGTTAAAATATCTGTTGTCTGCAAGAGATTAGCACAGCTCTGGCTGAGTCAGACAGCATTTGGTCTCCCAAAAGTAAACGCATAAAGGTAGATTTATTTAGTTTACATGTTTTCTTTTTAGAATCTTTTTATACCCCTTAATACTCCTCGCCATCTTTTCTTCCATGATTACATTTTAAAATGTTAGACCACCATGTACTAAGAGAAAAAGAACAGCAGATTGTTGTTGTGGTTCCATTACCTGTGCAGACAGTCCACAATTGCAACCGTCTTGCGTATATTTAACCACGTCCTTGTGCAAGTCTTTTATACCGGCTTTCTGTTTATTTTGAGAGGGTGCTCTTTTTAAAGCAGCAGCTTCTGCCTAAGTTGTCTTTTAGCAGGATTCTCAGCTCCGATTAGGGGATGATGGTAGGAAGATGGCCCGTGTTAAGGAAACATGTGCCGTCAGTGGAGCAAACAGAGCTTTTGCTAAATTTTGGTCTCCATCTTAAATAGACTGGATTTTTTTTCCACTGCAATTTCTAATCGTGTTACTGTAATTTCTTTGTAAAAATCCTTTCTGTTAGGCCATATTCACACTTGAATGATTTTTTTTACTGTCAATGATAAACATCTGACAGACTACATGGGCATTCATCTATAAATTAAGATTACTGTCCAGTTCTTGACAAAAGATCATTCAATTGTCATGTTTAGTTGTCGTTTTTTTTACCTCGTCTTGTCCTTCCTGCTGGTGTTAGTGTACTTTTTCACATTGGCATATCTCTATTTCCCCGAACAGTAACTTGGTCTGAAGTACGGCCTGTCAGTAAAAGAACATTCTGTACTTTTGTGGGTTTTCATAACGTCATGATGGTGAAAACCGGCTGGTGCGGTTAAAATGAAAGTTAGCAACACCTGCAAACTTCACACACAAACAAGAAGCACGGCCTTTTACTTGTTGCTTTTTGTACCTCAGCGGCGAGGTGTAACTCCATGCAGTTAGGCAAAGCTGTGTGACTGACAGTTCTAAAACTATGAATTTGTGCTCACACAGCATGAACATTTGAAATTGGACTCTAGCTCCTTGCTCTGTTGAAGGCTTTGTGCCATTCTTGTCAGTGGTCCGTCTTCTTGCGCCCAGTCGAGCCGCTGCCTTTGTTTCACAGTCCCCCAGCGTGGCACTTAGTGTCCATCAGCCATGTAATTATGAGCAATTGTCAGAATCCAAACTATCTACATGATTACACATCATCTTCCACTTATCAGTTCGACTACGAAGTCTTATCCAAATCGCAGTGTGGCAGTTGACTTCAAATTGCTCACAATTTCACTTATGATTGATCTGTGTGTCTGTGTGAGGGAGGATTGGAGTTATAAGACTTACCAGAGCTGGCCTGTCTGGTTTGAGACTGACTGTTACCTCCACCCGATTCTCTACCCCCCTCCCCCCCCATCTGTGTGTTGTATGTCCTCTTTTCTTCTGACAGGGCGTCTCTGTGGAGCTCCTGTGTGGTTCTTCCCCTGTTAGCGCTGACCTGGATGTCAGCGGTGCTGGCCATAACTGACCGCCGATCCACACTCTTCCAGGTGATGCACCCGTGACACGGGTCAGGAAAGTAAAAAGGCATCAGGGAGTCTCTCACACTTAATAAGTTTTCATCAAATGTGGCCTCTCCTTTGGGATACCTAGAACTGATTCGTTTTAATCGCCAATCATTCCAATAATTTGTGGCAGTAATAATAAAACGAATGATTAAGAAATTTGAAGCAAAAGGAGGAAAATCTATTTCCTCTTCAACTCTTTTAATATATTTTTGTCTTTTTTTCAGATTGCTAATGTTATCACATATAAATGATTGTTTTTGATGATTTGTTTTAAAAGGTTTAAATGCACAAAATAGAAAAATGTTGTTTAAAAAAAAAAAAATATTTAGTTTTTTTTTAAAGCATGTAAATATTCATGTAGAAAGAAATGAACAAATATTGTGAAATTAAATGAAAAGTCTCAAAATGTTCTATAGTTACTTTTAATTCCTCTTTTGTGGTGAACCTACATTCCATTAATTTAAAGACTGACAACAAAAGGCAATCAATGTAACAAACCAGTGGAAAAATAGGAGTCTAGGAATAAAGACTAGAACACAAATTGAAAAGACAACAATGTTGGATAGTAAGATATACTCTGATAATTGGTTATGATTGATTGAGTGAATGAACTGAACATTTTTTACCCTGGCATCAGTTTCTCTGATAAATTATTAGTGACTAATTTAGCTGCTATCCCACAGAGAGACGGGGCTACTTATAGAGGAGTTTCTGCATTGGTGTTAAAGCACCCTGTGGTGCCTTCAAAGAGAGGCTCCAGTCTGCCATAAGATTTATTTCTCTTTCAGAAAACTACAGAAAAAAAAAGTCGGAAATAGCGAATTCCCTCACCATTTTTTTTTGTTATCCATTGACTGACTAATCTAACCCTTGTTTTTATTTTTATTTTGGTCCAGGTCCTCTTTGCCGTCTTCGACTCTGTCCAAGGTTTTGTCATCATCACCGTCCATTGCGCCATGCGCCGAGAGGTGGGTCCCCTTTTGATTTATCGATTTATTTTCATGTTTTGTTTTTTTCTGCTGAGCAAGGGGCATGTCGATTCTGCATGCTTCGTAATTCATTTTAATTCTCAGCTATGCCCGCTCCCATCCCCAGGTGGGATTCGTTCACCTTATTTTGCAGGTCAGTCCGAGAGCGTGACACAGCACGAGCGTATGAGAAGGATTAGCATGGTATTTATGTCCTGTGTTGCGGAGCTTCTTTCTCATAATGCAGTATGATAGTGCGCTATTGTCCAACTGATCCGAGTCTGGTTTAAGGAGCTTACTAAGATGCTGTATGGAATAAGACGATAAGTCCCTAACTAATAGCCCCTGGTGCCAGTTTGCCACAGGCTTTGCTTTTCCCCTGGGGATCCTGCATTTCCAGCTCATTATGCACATACATGTGCTGTGTTCATGTTCTAGGGACAAACCGCTGAACACACACACATGCTCTGAAACAACAGATTTATAATGTCATCAGTTTCCAACGCCTGTAATAGTGTCCTCTGTTGCTCATAAATACATTCGACAGACACAGGTTCATCTCTCTCCAAGAGATCATTAGAATATTGAATGCCACGTAGAGCGTAAGTGAATTTTTAAATGCTTCGAATGCTTAGCTACGTTAAATTAATATTGCCAAAGCGGCGGGATCAGTGTACAGTAAATCCAGGAATTATTTATTGTAAATGTGTGAAAATCCCCCCTGCAAGAGCCGGAGAGCAAATCCTCCCAGGCTCAGGCAGAAGGCAGTGCCGAGCAACGGGAAGGGAGGAGGGGAAACCAGGAGGAGCGTCGGGAAGTATTACCGAGGTAAACACGATAGAAGATGCAACAAAGTGTGATATTACAGTCAAAAAAACACACCGGAGTGTGGCACCACGCAGAGCGCCACAATGATATCCGGTACACAGGGGGTTGCTGGTTAGGGATTGTGAGGACCACAAAGGCCCAGACAGACGACCCGCTGAGATCTGTGGGGAGAAACGCGAGATGATGAGCATCAGCGGCATTCCTGCTTTTGTGTTAAGCATGCAGCCAGAGAAGAATGTGAAGCTACTGTAAATTCTGATGGAGATTTAATTCAAAAACAAAAAAAAACTAACAAAAAAAACAGTAGAGCGGAAGACAGAAAAAAGGCATGCCGAGATCTGTGAGAAAGCAATATGAGTCACGATCGAAGCAGGGGGTCATAGTATGGGAGGAGGAGACGGGGAGGAGAAATGGGTAAATTAGCATAGAAGGGGGCTTTCTCTTTGAAGTTGGAATGAGATGCATTGGCTGCCAACACACACATTATCATTATCAGAGCGCAGGAAGCAAACGCCGCTGAGGATGAGCATGGATGTAAATGGAAGTGACAGACGAAAGGAAACAATGGAGCAAACAGTTTCGTCCATGCAGTATTAATCAGACGGGGATGCAATCCATCATTTGCCGCAGCGCACACATGCACCTCTGCCCAGATGAGATCACTGGATGAGAGTGAACTTCTTGTTTCGCGTCTTACGCAAATGCTCGTGTTTGTGCCCAGGAGACTGCGGGGCTTTGACAGCGGGAACACTGGGAAATGATGCCGTGCCTCAGAAAGAAGTGGGATCATCTATAATAGAGAGCTTGATGGCAGGAAGAAATCTGGGGGTTTGCTGGGAGAGATAATGCACAGAGACACATTCGATTTGAGCTTTTACAGTGGGCTGGTGGAAGTTTACTTCAATGCAGCGTGTGGGAAGATAAAGAAAAAAAAAAAACAGTATGGCACTAGAAAAATCCCAGGGTTAGAGGATCTTTATGTTGAGCTGTTGATTTTTAATTAAAGCCTTTGAACTGGCTAAGCTCAGATGGGCTGCTTTGTAGTACAACTTTGCACTTTCCGTAGCAAACCATTGAGTATTCGATCATCCATATGTTGAGCTACTTCAGGAAAGAAATGGCTTTTTCTTTATCTTGGCCCTTTTCACAGTGTGCACAGTAAAACAGAAGAGTGCAAAACACGCGACACAACATTTACCAAACCAGCTCAAATCAGTTCACTAACTTCTTCCCTTTACATCATCTCTTCCCCTGCCTTATCATTCCCTCTTTTCCTTTCTGTTTTACCCTCCTTCTCCGGCATCTCTTACCCCCCTCTATCACCCAGGTGCAAGATGCGGTGCGTTGTCGAATGGGGGGATGCAAAGACGACAGCGAAAACTCCCCAGACTCCTGCAAGAATGGACAGGTGCAGATCATGGTGAATAGCATTCCATTTCATCCCACGACAACGCTCATTTACCTCTCGCTCACAGACTCTCCAGTAGAGCTTCAGCCCAAACAGAATGAAGCACGTCCGCCTCTTACTGAAGTTATGAAATTCATGCCTGGCACTTAGTTTTTGTGCTCTTAATCCCGCCTTCAACCATGTTTACCTCGACAGGAAGTCATTGTTCGTGCATTATGCATTGTCATTATCCCCATAAAGAATGTTTTCCAGCCTGAAACTAACTTTCTGTAAGCCATAACTGAACAAACCGCATCTGCCATTGTTTCAAAAACTTCTTTTTTTTCAAATCTTCAGTCACTTTCTTGTTCGTTGTACAACTAGAAAAAAAAAAGCAATCATAACCAGTGTGTATTCTACTCTCACTGCAGATGCCCCAGCACTGTTCCTTTCTTTTCAAACTTTTAACTTAAACTTCATCATTATTTAAAGAGCACAAAGCTCCCGTAAGGAGGTTGTGCGTGTTCCAAATGTGGGTAATAAATGTGATAAATCACTGACACTTGAATGCCTCGCCAATGTCAGTACGGTCACACCATGCGTGCGAGCGCCTCTCATCCATATTCCCTTTATTTCTCCCTCAGAGCTGTTTGCGGTAATGTTTATGGGTTCGTGAATGTTCCTCCGAGGTTATCAAGATTAAACTTTTGAAGCCATCGTGACACATTCTTTTATTTTCATTCAAAGTCTGACTGAGCCGATTTAATTCTTGGCTTAATTGCCACCATGCACGCAGCATGCACAGCGGGCTGGTTGCTGTGCTGACTATTGTATTTGAGGTCCTGTGATAATCCGCTTGTTTAGTTTCTTTGTTTAACTGTGTAGCTTTGATTTGAAGGTGCTTTTTCAGCATGTACATGCACACAGAGCACCCACGTGTAAGAGGCACACTACCCTGACGACATTAACTGTGATAGATAATTTACTGAGCCCACCACCAGTTATATCAGCATCATAATTACAGTGAACGCTGTTCTCTCTGGTACCCTACCTACATTCAGAGAAAAATCTCATTAGCATGATGAACTCCTGACATTTGGAGGCATCGCCACGGTGGGAAACCCTTGCTAAACATTAAAGCTGAGGATACCTTTAGACAATCATTTCATTAGCTAAACTTCCATAAACACATCACCTTGTAGACCCTTCTAACCTTTTAACTTTATGTTTTGCATCTTTTTTAAAAGATTCTTTTTTCCCCCCCCCCCCTTCTACATCATTAGAAGTGTGCTAGTGCGGGCGCCTGTTTGCAGCAGCACGGCTTTCGTCACAACACACCCATGTGCCTGCCAGGCTACACGCAGCCTCTCCCACCAATGTGCCACCAGACAAACCAGCAAGCCTGCTGCCACAGTCTGCCCCGGGCCGACCGCAGCTACGGGCTAGACCAAAGCCTCTCACATGAGCACATACCCATACTCAACCATACTCAGAACCACGTCCACAATCACATCAGCAACCGACCAGTATGTCCCCCCCCTCACCCCCCATAAATAAGTCAATAATAGTCACTAATAGAGAGAGGAAAAGGTGCAATATGTACTAGTGTGTTCAGACACGAAATGAAGGAATATGAAAGGAAAATTTTGACTTTTTGTGTGACAAGAAGTTTTCCATCTCTTGCTAAGACCTACACCTTTGAACCAGACGATGAAACTTCATTATTTTGCTTATTTTATTCTTTTGTTTAATGAAATGTCAAATAATATGCCTGAAGTAGTTGTGTTTGGCTAATGTAGTTGCAGTGCAGGGTCATGTTGCTTTTTGTGGTGTAAACAACAAACAAACAAAAAGCCAATTACGTCACGTTTTAAACTTGCTGAATTTTGAAACTGCTGTTATTTGCCTGAAGAGCATTTAAAGGTCATTTTAAAAACAAAAACAACATGCAAATCTGAAGGGAAATTAATGGAGATGTTACGTCAGTTACAAGTAAGCTAAATTAGATGCACTCATTTTTTAGTTGTTTACTTTGAGATGTTTTATGTGAGAGTGTTAAATAAGGGGTGTTTACTCTGCTCCTAGGTTCACGAAAAGGGCTACTCCCTTAGCACAAAGGTTGTAAATGTAAAAACATTTTCAACAAGTAAAATGAGCAAAATCATGGACTTTCTGTCAACTTGCTGCCAAGCCTGCAGTTGAGGGGAGGTTGTGGATGTTTGTTATACAGTAACAAACGGGTCACCTTAAATCTTAAGCAAGCTATTTTACCACTTTTAAGTCTTTGTGCTAAGCTAAGCTAAGCTAATCAGCTTCTGTTAATTAGCTTAGCGTGCTCCCGTGGAAGTATGTTAAGTGGTTTCTTCCGTCAGCAAGAAAGCAAATGTTAATATGATTTTAAAAATGTGTGACTATTTTATTGGGTTAAAAAAAAAGCAGTCAAGTTTTTATTACATATTGCACCTTATTAGTGTAAGTAGGAAAAGTTGTGATGTAGCTCATAAGAAACTGTAGTGTACTTTGTCATGAAGTGGATGTTTGCATTTTTGTCTTTCTCTGGAATGTCGAATATTACATTATATTAATTTAATCAATGTTGCCAAATTATATTTTGAAGATGTTCATCCTTCCTGACGTGTCTAGCCACCGGATAGTCCAGTATTTACTTTTTTTTTTTACGTTTTTCTATGTGTTTGTGTTTGATATTCTCATCTGCACATTTAGTTAAGAACCATTAAGGGTGCTGCCGGTGATTAGCGTAGTAAGAGGTTTTCCACTCCTGTGAGACCATTCTTTCACTTTCTCTCCTTACTTTCAGTTTTTCATCTCCCCCTCTCTGCCTCTGCTTGCTTCTGTGGAATGCTCAAACTCTAAAATGTGAAGTTTATTATTCCAACAAAGGCTTTTGTAAGCGAGTCCTACAGGACAGGAGGGAGGCTCTGTGGTGAGCGCAGGGATCACAACTGCATAGCAATGAGCCTCGTTTACACTAAAGTTTACAAAAGTTTGGAAGCAGAAGTCAGTCATTCAGCTAAATTTTAATCAGGTCGAGGAGTTGTTTCTTTACCCCAAGGAGCACTGGCACTCTGCTTTCCACTCTGAATAGACGTCATTTCTAGTTATAGCCATATTACCTCATCTACATAAACTCTGAACAGTGAGTACAGGTTAAGCTCAGTGTTTTGTGAACATTTGTGTTTTGGTTGCCAGCGAGTGTGAAATGCAGAAGGCATTGCTATTTTTACATTTTTTGCAGGCAGGAGACAGCAAAGTTTCGCTTCAACTGGCACAGCAGATAATAGTTGTGCTTTTGTGTACATTTCTCTCCCTGCTTCCACACGATAGCGAGGTGACCGATGAGGCATAAAGTAACATTAGCTCACAAAAGCTCCTATGCCTCCTGCTAGTGTCTCTGTAGTCTGTATTTGGATCATCTGCTGTGATACAAACAAGGAACATAGCAGTGTTGCATTTGCCCTCTCAGAATATTTTGCCTGCTTCTCTGTTCTCTTTGGCTTTAAAAAAAGGAAGAAAGATTTATTCTGCAGAAATGTAAGATGAAGATTTCTAGATTTACTTAAGGCAACTGTTCAAATGGGCCTTACAAGTAATTCTCAGTTGTCACCATGGCAACTGATCCTATCTTTTTTTTTGTTGTACAGTTGAATCAGCGAATCAGAGTCATTGGATACATCATAACCATTTGGGATCCAATCACTCATTGGACCACTGCTGCTGCTAATGTAGTAAAATTACTGGCACACATTCATGTTTCTTCTCTCCCTGCCCTGCCTCTCTTCCTCAGACGGATTTTGAGAAGGATGTGGACTTGGCTTGTCAAACAGGTGAGTCCTCCCTTCCACCTGATTTTTCAGTCCTTCTGTCTCTTTGTCTCTTCTCTTTTATCCCCCTTTCCACCCAACACATGTTTAGCATAGCGAGCTGTTACACCCTCAGCTTGCTGGTGAAATGACAGAAGTCGATATGTTACATCTTCCCCTGTCTTGGTTGTGTTCATATTACTATGCCTTATCAATCACACTGATTCTCCTCAATATGTGTTCAGCGAGCATATGTTCAGATGAGTCTGGGCTTAATTGTGCATGATAATAAACCTCCTCTCCTCGGTGTGTTCAGACTTGCTCCACTGGTTAGTCGACAGTGGTGTTTGGCTGTGTTATGAATCTACCGCCGAGTGGTGTGTGTTGTGCTTTGATCTATTAACACAGTCACTTTCCCCCTTCCACCCTTGCAGAGAGAGGACACCCATGTAAGTTTCACACCCAACTGACCTACTTAACACTGCCTGATCCGTCTTAGACTTCATTAATTCCTATAGACGAATCCAGGGTTGTAGGCTGAAGTAAAAATGTCACCGCCGTCATCCAAGCTGTTTTGATTAAAAAAGTCATTATTGCCATTAAAATGCTAATCGCAAGGCCGTAAGAGTAAACATTACAAAGCCAAATATTGGCATTATCTTGCTGTCCGTTTGATTTGTCACGGTAATATGACATCAAAACCATAAAAGACTGAAAGGAGCAGAGCAATGCACTTTGTTTTTCTCAAAGATTAACTTCAAATGAGGACTTCAAGATTAAATGCTTGCAATTTTACTTTTAAGTGACTTCTGCTGACCATGATTAAAACTGGTGACACTTCAGAACACAACACATAAAACCAAAGTGTGGGATTCGTCTACAGGTCCATCTCTGCGGCTCCATTATTTGATGTGGATCTTTGATGCAGGTCTAAGACTGGTCCGATATCTGGGAGCCTGTCCAAGCCTGTGTGATTGATTTGCACCAAAAGGATGGTGAAACAGAGAAAATGTTACTGTGGGGTGTGTGATCAGCCAGTGTACTCGCTGCTGTACTGGCTCACAGCAGTATTGAGCTTCAATTTTTGATCAAACATGCTGCCTGTTACATCATGGCAGTCAGAACAAAACTGCTCTGTGGCCCGTGCTTTGGTCTTGAATTGAATTTTGGGACAGCAGAGTAAATATTTATATGCTCTGCATCCATTATGAATGTCTACTTTTACTCAATATATGTATCATAGTGAGCTTTGTAGCTAGCATGAATTTGGATCAGTTTGCTTTGGTTTGTTTAATTGTGCTGCTAGACTTTTGAGGAAAGCATAGTCTCTTAGAAGCATGACATGAGGCCGTTTCCCCACAGCTGGAACAAGCATGCAATTTGAGCGGTTGCCGCCACCTTTGTGCGCATTCTGACCTGAGTTTTAGGCCACTTTGCAAGGCCAATGGATTCTAAAACACAAATTAGAACTTTTAATTGTGCGCACATCCTGTCATTGGTTGCACCCGCTCGTGCCTGCACACTATTCCAGGAGGGGAAAGTCGGCGTTCAGTTAATTTTCTCACAGCTGCTCTGGAAATGTACAGCTTTCCCAATAGTTTGCATGGAAACTAACTCAAATCCACTGAATAATTTTGAGTTGTCACTGACACGAACACATTGTGAAATTTGCACACACACATACCGCATACACATGTATTGAGTCTGAAACAGGGATTTATGCCTATAAGCGACAGCGGGGCAGAGACAAACAAGCTACTGTGAAAGATATTGGAAAGGAGCAGCGCCGGGATGTGCTTCCATTTCATAAGAAGCTCCCAGCATTTTCCACCAAGCCCCTTTCTCTAAGATAATAAAATTCTTGCTCACTGGCAAGTCTTGAGATTGAGTGAGACTTAAGGTTGCATTATCGAGGACAAACCTCAGCTTGGATACTGTAAACCATGAGAAACAAAACAAAAAAAAGATAAGTGAAACTCCAGAGATGCTTTCTGTCTCCCAGCTGCAAGCAAATGTCAGAATCAGTAGCTAGCATATCCCATCTGTCTCTGTATTGTCTACCTGTCCTACCATCTATCTTTTGCTGTATGATATATGAATCTTTATTCATTCAAATATCAATTCCATTTTCTGGCTTACAATCTATTTTCCTTCCCTGTTATATTCCCCTATTAAAAACTCTTGACCTCTGTTTTGTTTTTTTTCCATCGCTTTCAACACCCCTACTCTTGACTCCCTCCAACTCTCTCCCATATCTCTCCGACTTCTTGTGCCTGTGAACCCCCCCCCTGTCTCCCTGCAGTCATTTTCAAAGAGGTCAACTCCTGTAACCCAGCCACCATCACTGGAACGCTCTCTCGAATATCGCTGGATGACGAGGACGATCCGAAACTCGCTGCCCATCAGGAGGGGGGAGTTGGGGTCAACTTTAGCTCCCTCCCTGGAAACATCCCACCCCCAAACCTCATTGTACAGGTACAGATTTATACTTGGTTTGGCTTGAGAGAAATAGGTGCAAGCATTGAATTCCCTATCTTTGTACACAAGGTTCCGACCCTAAGTGGCCTCAATGAGCTGAGTGAGACCCCCGTAAAGAAGGACGTGAACATGGACCAGCAGAGACAGCAGGGGCAGCGCAGCGCTCCGATATACCTGTGCACCGAGAGTGGCCTGGGCTGGGCTCGACCGCCTGCCTCCTCCAACAACTCCCAGGACGGAAGTGCGGGAAGCGGAGGAAGTGGGTGTGGAGGAGGAGGCAGTAGTGGAGGAGGGGAGGGAGACTACATGGTCTTACCTCGAAGGACAGTTAGTCTCAAACCTCCAGGAACCTCCTCACAAGGAGGAGGCTTGGGACTCGGGGGCGAGGACAAGCCGCTAAACATCGCAGTGGAAGATCCTCCGTTCCCTCCGCCTCCCTCTCCTCTGACCCTCCACCCCGCTGAGAGCGAGGCTTACCCGGCGGATTTTGTTCCGTCGAGCGTGGGCGACATGAACATCACCATGAACCTCAACCGCTCCTACGGGACGATCAAAACCATGCCCCATGGGCATGGCCACTTGATGGCCCAGGGTGGCCTCGTGCACTCCCACGGAGGACACATGCATTCCCACGGGCATTCTCTCCACCTGAAGCAGGGACAGAGGCCGTCGGTCAGACAGATTCTCACAGGGGGATCTACGGTGGAGAGAACCAGAACCCTGCCGCGCAATCTGGGCAGCACCAATGCCAACACCGGTGTCTCAGCAGGATCTCTGGAGGTGGGTAAGAGGCCGTATAAAGCAGATGGGCTCTAAACGGTGCCTGAGCTTTCCCCCACCTTTTGACCTAAGCTCATGTTTTACAGTCAGAGCTGTGTTGGTGAGCTTACATAAGAGATGCTAGAGAGATGGATTTCAGTGGGAGGAGGTACTCTGCAAACAAGGTCCAATTATTTGATGTAGTTTCCTCTCTGTGCAAGTGCTTTAAACAGGGGAAATGCAAACATCACTAATCGCATAAAATATCCATCCCGTAAGGAGAGCCATTAAAACTACCTGATCAGTATTTGGGAAATGTAAAACCTCATTAATATAGCGTGTACTATTTGGGGTAATTAGGATGTCGTTCTCTACTCTACACTTAACACCGTTGAGCTACTCATCACAGCAAATATACGTGGCAGGAAGAGTTTCTGTGGACTGACGATATACTGTGTTGTTGTTGAACAAGTCAGCTCAAACTTCAAACATGACAGTTCCTGAGACACGTTGTCTATCTTACATGGGAACAATGCACCGCGCGCTGTGACAGCAGCTCGACTCTGTGCCTAAAAACACGTCTCACATAACAGCTGCTATTATTTTCAGCTGAGTAGTATTTATTGCGGCTGACTGAGACAATGAGCACTGAAATGACTCATTCTGGTAATGAAAGGCAGCTTCTTATTAGTTTAGCGTCTCCGTGTGAGCGAGCGTGATGCTCTCTGTGTGCGACACCCCCTCCCAACCGCACAAGGTGGTGCAGCAGATGGACTGAGAGATACAGGACCAGAGGAAATACCCCAGGTAAATGTCTTTGAGCCCCCCTGTAATACTCCACAAACAGGCGTATTGGCATCCATGAAGCTCAGCGCTACATTGACTCACAGATTTTGTATATCCCCCACCCCCCAAGAGGTGTTTTGCTTACTCGCAAGGTTGATTAAAGAGATGCGAACGTCACTTTCGCTGAAAAGTGCAGATGCCTCATTTAGAGCTGAGGACGAGTCATTAAAACTCATAAAGCATCACTGTCAGGAGCACTACAAGTGCACTCCTTAATGCCAAAGGAAAAAAGAAAAAAGAGAGAATCTACAGAGGAAACCTGCTGGCTGTAATTTACTGCCGTAATTTCCACATGCCTTTTTAAACATGCTTGACTTCAAGATGGATATCCAGAGTGTGCCTCTCAAGATTAAATCACGGCAGTGTTTTGCTCTTCAGTTGAAACATGGAGCTGTAATGGCGGAGTCGCCCAAATGTTGAATACATTCTTAACTCCCCACTGGTCCAATGGAATCATGAGGAAGACTAACAGAGGGTATTGTCCTCGCAAAATGCTACAGATAATGGAGTTTTAGATATCGAATGGCATTGGTCAGCCAGAAGATGTATTGAAAGTATGGAAAATGTATTTCAGTGATGGTGGTTGGAGAAAAGGAAGGAATATTGTGAGATTTTACCTTTCACTGAGCTAATGACTACTTTATGTGTGTTCCCCCCAACACAAGCTATATACAGCTCATGTGTATGCATGTTGCATGTTTGCCGAGTCACAAAGCTGACTGAGTTCAGGAATTTCTCTGTTTTAAGGTAAGGATTGCTCGATTGGAGAGGAGGAATTGCATCCTTTTTTTTCTCCATTGTTTTTGTTTAAAGTGGCAGTGGCCGGGACACCTCCGGACAACACTTAACTCCTCTTTTTGTTTGAGTGGCTATACCTTCTCAAAGCTTGGCACCCAAAGCATCAGATCAGCAACTCTGCCCTTGTGAGGGAATGAATACAGCTTTTAACTAACTGTGGAGAGCGGTTTTTCCTCCCTGCCAAATGCAAATCTGGCATGCAGCAAGCGCCAGATAGGAAATCAGAGATGGAATGCAATTCAGTGCAATGTCAGGGCTAGATGAGTTGGAAATGTCTGCAGCTGTCAAATTGGCGGTTTGTGTGCTGCTTGCTGAAGCTACAGGGGCACTAAGGATGAGAGCGGTAGGGCCCAAATGAGATTTCTCCCATTCCATTTGCATTTTTTTAAACATCTCCAACAAAATGTTAGACGCTAGCAAAGGAAAACGATTGTATTTGAGTGTGGGTGGTAAGGGATTACTATCATTTCATTGTTATTCTGGGTTAATTCACTGGGATGATCTCCTCCTGAACTGCAGTGAGTTACAGTGCCCTGCCTTTAGATTTCTCATATCCATATGATGTTGGGCTGCCAGTGCACTTTAGTCTTGCTCTTTTAATGGAGCAGTGCCACTGCGAGGTCCACTAAGAGACTGAGAGTTCAAAAAATGGTGGAGGGGTGGTTATTGATGCTGTCTTCTCTCCCCCTGCCCCCTCCTCTTCCAGAGGAAAAGAGTACGGTACTCTGAGCTGGACTTCGAGGTAAGACATCGGACCTCACCCCCCCCCCTCCCCTGTGCCTCCCCTCATCAGCCTGTCTCTGCTTTCTTGTGCTTCTGCCAGGACATGAGTAATACATAGAGGAGCAGTGCGCATTGCTAAACCCCTCCCCCTTTGCACCTGTCTCCCTGCGATGAACTGTTCCACAGCTATCTTACACAGTGTGCTGTTTCTCCAGCTATAACCTGCCGTCTGTCCATAAAGCCAAAAAAATAATACATGGAAAAATAACTTCAACTAACACATGTAACATGTAAAATGTGGTCTGACATGATGGGTCTTTGTGGGTTCCTGGTTGAAGAAACAGCAAAGTGAGGCCCCTCTCACTTTGTGTTTGGGTCAGTGCTTTGGATTAGTGTCTTTTGAGTAAGGTTTGTGGCTGACACCGTCTGTTTGGAGATAGTTTGTTTGTGTCAGAGTGACCCAGGTGTTCTGTGAATCTGCAGTCTGTAGTAAACACCATCCGGACAGTATAAAAGCTCTTCCCTTTACACATTTATGCGTTTTCCTGAGGATTCCATTTTAGTTTCATGTTGTAAAGCCTGGACATTTACCTTCCAACTTGCAGATTAGGGCCGGTCGCCTTACCTCTTTGGTAAACTTTCCAGATGAACCGCAAAAGATTGGCCCTCCCTAAAATCAGCTAGTTTTCTCATCGATTGAGCTTTGAGAAAGATGCGAGTGTGGAAAAACCTCTAATTCTTGAGGTACTGTATTCTTCAATAGTGAAGACTTCAAGTTTTGGTGCTTTTCACAAATCAGTTTGAGAGGGAAGAATCACGGTTGTGTAGGTTTGGATGTCCAGACTTTTGACTGAATTCTGCCCGAAGAGCACCAGGTGCTTGTAGCTATTTTTGCAACTCAGCTATGTTCGACAGGCTAGTGGGATTTTTTTAATCTCTTCATTGTGATGTGAGATTGTTTATTTATTAATTTTCATACCCAAAAGCTAAGAAAAAAGAATGATTGTTATGATCCAAACATGCATCTCGACTTTTTTGTGTTTTTCCGTGAGACTGGGTTGTGTTAGCTCACTTGTTGATAGTTCTTACCCTATCCTGCACTGGAAGATCGTGTTGGACTAATATTCTTCAAAACCTTACCCCTAAATTATTTTCAAATTCACAAGCTGCTTTGACGATTAGCCACATCACAGCTCCTGCAGTGCCATTAGCACAAGCAAACCAATGTAGCCTGCTTACAGAGAATAACGCACATAGATTTAAATGCCTTAAAATGAGACCCGCTTTCCTTGCAAAGGAATAGGATGAGAATCTTCAATCAAAACTCGCTGCCCATTTGATCAATTTTCACCAAGTTCCAGATTTAACATCATTTAGCAGACACCAGCCTGTAGCAAGGGCTTTTTTTTTTGTCAGGCGCTATAAGCAAATTTTCACTTAAAAGATTATTTTTTTCTGCAGCAGCCCGAGTTGCCAAATTCTAAAAGACTGAGGACGTGGATGATGGATAAGCATGACTCAATTGATCTGTTGGCGTCCCTTTCTGACCTCGTTTTTGTTTCTACCATCACCGCAGTCCCTCGGCCTTTCGCTCATTCCACCTGCCCGTCCCCACATTAACCCGCCTCATGTTCCCCCCATTCCTTTTAAGTTTGGTTTCTTTTTTTGTTTGTTTTCTATTTGCTTCATTTTTTGCTGTCCCCTCCTTTCTTCCCTTCCAGAAAGTGATGCACACTCGCAAAAGACATTCTGAGTTGTACCATGAGCTCAACCACTCGTCCAAGTTCCACACCATAGACAGGTATAACAGGGACCCAGCCATGTCCACATTCAAGGTAAGACCATCGCCCAGAAGGGGGATGGGGTCCCTCAGTTCTCGTGCACCTCCACTCCCTCTGCAGCACGGCAAAACCGATGCTTGAAAGCAAATAATGTTCGAAAAGTGCCCTAATAGACCTAACCAAGCACATTCATCTCTAACTAAATATCATCAGCACAATGGTGATGTTGTGTTTACTTATAAAAGCAGCTCTCAGACAATTATAGTAATAATATTCTGAGCAAAGCCGTCATTTACAAACATGAGGGTACTTTAGAAGGCAGTTGTATCTAATCTGATGCAGGGTTTTTTTCTCGTTTTTGTTTTTTTTAATTCCACCCAAATTGCTGCCTTAGAAATGTGGAAACATTGTCTGCTCTAACAAGGGATTTTGAATGCAATCTGAACACTGCATGCATTTTCATTGCCATTTGATTAATTCACCCTTGTTCTTATTATCACAAGCGTGAAGAATCGAACAATAACTACCTCATAAATATTTCTTCACAGGCGCATTCTGCTCCATCTTTCATACCCTATATTAATTTTATACCTGATGTAATTGGCCTGAACTGAATTCATTTTCGCTTGCAGTTCTTGCTTTATTAAATACCTATCAAAAATGTTGATCACATGAGCTTTTAGTGGAGGCATAATCAATCAAAACGGCTTAATGAAATCCAAATTTTGCAATTCAAGACCCGTGAAACTATTTGTCACTCTTTGCCAAATCACCTCATGGTAATGAACTGCTAAATCAACCCAACAAAGCACACCTTCCTATACACACAAATGCTTCGTCTGTCCCCATGTCAAAATGGTTTACATGTTGTTTTTGTTTATTTGTTGTTTTTTTAATGTTCTATATCTAACTGTCTCTTTATGATTGTCTGTGTGTCTGCATGGGGGGGGGTCGTTTGGCGTGCGAATTCGCAGGGTGCCAGGCTGGGCACCTGCACAAGAGACACTGAGGCGCATTTGAATCATTAACACAGCATTAGCAGCAGACTAAACAGCCCCTGCTTTCTCTGCCCTGACCTTCAGAGGGCCACCTCATTAAGTTTTAAACACACGTTCACACTCCACTCATCTGCTTTAGTTTCTGTTCGCAGAGCCGGGATGAGTTGGCCAGCCTTGGTAGGTGTACTTTCCCCTGGCATCGGCGGCATGCTGGTTCACATCTAATTTACTCTGCAAACCGAAGTGCAGAGACTAGTCTGACATCTCTCATATTCCACCCCGCCATGCAGCTACACACACTCCGAACCCTCCCAGTGTCTGACCGGTAGCCTTTTCCTTCACTCCTCGTTTGCTCGATGTCTTGAGCGTGGTTTTCAGAGGCGCTGGCCCAATCACCGTTTATTCGTGCCAAGCAAATATTTTATGGAAGCGAGGGAATGTGGCAAGCTGCTCGAGCAATTTATGTGAGGGCGACGCTTCTTAACAGTTGGCCGCGGCATCGTAACACGCTTCAAAAGGAACTTAGGTGAGCTTTGAGACTCTGCCCAGATGCAAAAGAATTGAAAGTGTGGTCCCAAATAATTGATGGGTTGCGTTTAAACTAATTGGGACAAATTGGAGCACGTTTTTTTTCTTTTGGTTAATGACGTCAGTAGGTCTGAAGTTGTTAAACGAAAGGGCAACGTAGGTCTGGCTTACTCATCCAAATCCATTATGTTAAAAGTAAGAAGGCAGTTTACTTAAGTGTGAATAATTACAGGGCTAATGCTATCAGTGTCAGGCCTTTGACGGGTCCCAGCTTGAGTTCGGCTCCACTGTTGTCAACATCTCACTTTGAGAGTCACCCCCAGACATGGACATGCTGACTATACAGTAATTATGGAGATGAGAGGGGTGTTTGCGAGCAAGTTCATTCGTTCACATATTAGAGTGCCAATGCGTGTGGCTGTGTGCCTATGTGTGTGGCTGGGAGTAAAAGTGTGTGTCGACCGCTTCCTCTTTTGTTTGTGTCTGTTTCATGTTTCAGATTGTTGTGTTGCAGAGTCCATGACTGCATCTCATAAACTGCTTTAGGAGACAATTATACCCCAAGCAAGGATAAAAAATATTTAAAAATAACTTTAATAAGTTCCTGTTAATGCTTTATGACAGACAGTGTCAATGATTTTCTCATATTATGTGAGTGATTTGTTTGAAAGTGTAAATGTCTTTTATAGAGCTATCTTGTCATGGATCAACACCCAAAGTATTGTGGGAGGCAGAACTCGTTCTTAATTTCCTATGGCTAATTGGCTTTGATACATTACAGCAAGCAATACTGACTGTCCTGTCTTTTCCATGAAAAGTGTGACTGGACTGGCTGGACAGATCCAGGCTAAACCAGTGGTAAAGGAAAAAAATATTAACTTACCACCTAATGATGAGATATCATCTTGCAGTAAAACTATCAATCAAAAACCCATCAAATAACCATTGAACTTTTGCAGGTCTCTCTTTCCTTCAAATGCCTAAATCATAATTTAATCAAGACCCTGTAACACTTCTAACCACCACGGCTGGTGTTTATTCACCACAGGTGCCCCCTCCCCCACCACCGAGGCACAACACAGAGCCATCGCTAGCTCGCAGGTCATCTATTGTTTACAAAGAAAGTCAACGTAAGATGCACTAAACCCGACATAAACCTCATGCATTAGAGCCCAAATAACTTGAACTAAATAGTTGTTGCCTGAATAGTTGTATCACATAGTTTGTCACTGTTTATGGAGCAAAAATACATATTTGACATGTAGCCACCCCCAGCCAAGGATTGTTTATCGATTGCTTTTAATAGTTTACTTGTTTGATTGAGAAGGAAAACGAAATTGGCTATTAGCATCAGCAACTTTTCTGAAACATTAAAAGGAGAAGTTAAACGAATGCATATTACTTAGTGGAACACTGTTATTCAGGCACTTTGCGTGATCTTTTGTTATTGAAAGACAGCAATCCCAAAATATTAGAAAAAAAACACACAATGAGATATTTCACATTGTTTTTAGTTTTAAAAAAAAATTGTTGGGGGACTTTTCTGTCTGTCCCCCGACTTACAGTGGCTTTCAACTTACATCTTAGCATGATGAAAGAGCCCAAACTGAGAGCTTATTTAAATGGATACCCCAAAGCTCCAGTTATCTCACAGAATCACTAATTATCTGTGGCAGAAATATTTGTGGTTGCTTCCAAAAAAGAAAAAAAGAAAAATCAAATATCCCAATAGCATGATGCCTGAGATCAAGATTCAGCCTTTATAGATTAATACAGAAACCTGCCAACACTGGAACAGCAAACTGTTCCTGGGCAGTGTGTCAACGGAAAGCTTGACATGCTTAGCAACGCTAAGGGGGAAGGTATATTCACTCCAGCACCAGCTACTAGAGTCCCTAAAACACCGAAAAGGCTCTTATTTCAGCACAGAATTGTGAGTAATAACTGTAACACAAACAGTGACTGACTATCTGTTTCCTGAAGAGGCTCAGCAGACATCCAACAATGCTGCCTCGTTATTTAGTGACCGTATTTGATTAGCTTTGACTTTAGAAGGCCCCCTAGTGGTGTGGTGGTGTAACAGTTGCGTGTATCCAAATGAGTACCTCCAGCGGTTTAGTATCCAGGTAATGGATGCTTTTTCCATTATAAGACTGTGTACAAATTCATCTTTAATTGCGCAGATGGATTTGTATGGTGGTCTAATCACTTTTGCTTGTTTGGTCTTTGTTTGTTTGTTTGTGTGTGTGTTTCCCCCCTCTTTTGGGACTGTGTTTGTGTGAAACCATATGTATTACTGAAAGATTCAGGTCTAAAAAAATAAATGAGCTATAAATTTGTGTAAAAACAAAAGCTTATCCATAATCACCACATAAACTATGATATGCTGTCCAATGAATACATAATTTACACCAAAAAACAAAACCGAAATATGCTAACAATTTGCTAATGATGCTGGATCAAAAGAGAACCAATCAGTTTTCTCTGGACAGGTAAGATCTGTGTGTTCCCTATGATGGGGAGATGAGTGGATCTCAGAAAATTGACATGAGTAAAATTAAATTAAAATATCTGTGCAAGTGCAGTGGGCTTAAAGTGGACTAAAATATTTAATTTGTCATTACAGATAGAATTAATACATTTCAACCACCTCCACTTTGTGCTTTCCTTTACTTTTCTTCTCTCCTGCCACCATCACATTATCTTCTTGTTAACTCAGTGTTACCCGGTGAGTGGTAATGTCAATATTTAGCATTCTATCACCTGAAAAATAGACAGAAACGAAGGGAAAAGGCATGAGCTGATTGAATTGAGTCATACCTTGACCTCAGTGTTGGAAATCCCCCTGTCACTTTGCTTTTTTGGGCTGTTAGAACTAACACACCTCATTCAGTTGTCTTTAAAGAAATATCAGTTTCGTTCTGCCACTAACATTGAAAGAAAAATCTTCTTTTGGACTTCCATGTGTATTGTTAAGGCAGGAGACATGTTGAAATAATTTAGCTCTCTAATGACCTAGCTTCAGGAGTAGCTAATGTTAGTTTTCTAGATGGTATTTCTGCTTTGCCAAGCCCCCCAAAAATAGTTACTGACCTGAAATCAAGTGTTTTTACATAAATGTAATGTCTGCCCCCATTTGAGAATGCTATCTGCATGTAAAACACTTGAATCACACTCTGTTTAAGTGGATCGCGAGTAGGCTTCACATTAATGCTAATGGTGAAAGCAAATTCAAATCCTGCTCTTTTGAAAGTTCAGCGGCTGCACCGGCAGGGGCCTTTCGACTGGTAGATGGAGGTAGTCTATTTTCACTGGGTACCGTGGTTTAGACAGGACACAAGTGGAGGCACAGAGTCACCGGGGTTACAGAAAGACAGCGTTGATGCAATGCGTATGCAACACAGTATGCTCAAGTGTAAGCGTCTGCACTTATGTTCACATTTCCAGCAACTTCTTTGCCTGTGTCAGCCTGCTGTTTTTCCAGCTTTACCAAGGGGTTCAGGAGGTCAAAACACAAATTTGCCAGCAGTGCCCAATGATGCGGTCTTGTTCTTTGCCGCATGTGGGACGTAGGGTGGGCGTGTGACTGCGGGATAGAGTTTTGCACTGCATAATGGCTTGGCTGATGTATTTTTAACTCTCAAATGGAATATTTATTTCCAGCCTGTCTTTGTTATTGATGGAATGAAACATGGACTCCCATCCCTCCCCAGATCGAGAGTTGGGAGCTGTGTGAAGCACAGTGGGAAGGAAATTGAGACGAAAGAAAGAAGCCCACTTGTTTGTTAGTTTCACTGATACTACCGTAGACCTAAAAGGAAATGTATTTCAATTATGAGAGATGTATTAGCAATTCAGCTGAAATGGTCGCTGGCACCAGAGTGGAGTGTGTGATAAAAATCATTGTCTATTAGGCGGCACGTTGTCAATGTATTGTGCTAAAGTTTTGAAGGATAATTTGCTATCTCGCACCATTAAACAGAGGTGAGAGGGTCTCTATGCATCCCCAGTTAACATTAGGTGTTGTTATTTATATTCTTGCAATGTATTCAGGCAGCGACAGGGAAGTAACATGTGAGCTTTGAGGATGTCTCATGTAAAATGAAGATGTATTATTTCAAGAGACAAAGCCTCAATTTTTGTTGATTCAATGTGGGCAATTTGCCTGCGCTTGCAAAGCCTGTAGGTCTTGATAGTCAATTTGCTGGCATTAAGCTGAGGGGTTTCAATTTCACAAACCAGCAATAAAGCAAGTCCACCCCTCTTCTCACTCTTCATATCTCATTCCGCTCTCTATTTGTCCTCACAGCTTGACATTTTCTTCCGTGCTGTCTCCTTCATTTGCCCATTTCTCCCTCTAAGCTCAGCCCCCCAGTTGCACATTTTGAGGCATTAATTGAATAATTAATTCCTCTCATTAGCTTGATTTTAATTATTTCCTTGCCCCCTTCTCTGTGCTGAGTATAAACTCATCAACGGTTTCCATCCCTCCACACAAATTGCCCATGAAAACCAAGGGGCAGTGGAGTGTAGCTTCAGCACATTGGCTCCATCAGTGGCTCCTAATGAGGGGACGTGCAGTCCAAGCGGAACAAGCCTAACGCTGGCTTCGTGCACCAACAGGCACAATACTAATTGAACTCATTTAGTGTCCTTGGGCCAATTAAAAGGAGGCGAAAAGGTCCGAATCACCAGCTGGAACTGCTTTCTGTTTAGGAGCTCTGGCCTTCCATTGCACAGGCCCAGACAGTGGCAAACCGAGCCTGTGTGGCTGATTGCTCGTTTGTTTGCAATGTGTTGTGCTAATGGAATTTATTTACCCTACATTCCCCTGATTTAGCTCCTTTGAAGGGCCTTATTACTTGTGACACAGATTCTTTCCCAGCTAAGGGGGTGAATGGCACTAAATGCCACGTACAATGTCTGTTTTTGTGCTCGCTAACGAGTTGTGCCGAAGCCCAATCTGGTTTTTATTATTGGCGTGAAATAAAGAAGATTTCAAACCAGGTCCGGTATAGTATTCTAAAGCCTGCTAACAGCTGTGACACGATCACAATATTCTGGCATCCACTCAGTTCTCTCCTTCATCTTTGGTGTTACCTCCATTCTGTTTGTGTTCAAAAGTGATTTATGCTGGTTTCATTTGAATCTCATCTTTCTTTTATTTGCCTACCTGCTACATTTTATTGATTTCTGCTTCTCCTTTTTTGTTTGTTTGTTTGTTTTGTTTCCTGTGTTCTGTGCTTTGTTTGCTGACTGGGCCTTTGTGTTGCATGCTTGTTATCACGTCCCAGTTTGATTATAGCCAGCCAGTCACCAGAGCCATGGGCATCCAAGTCAACAAAGGTAAAGTTAACCCACTTACCTGTTACCACCTAACCGCTCCCATTCCCTCCTAAAGCCATGTTTCTCACACACATCCAGACTTGATTTCCTATTAAAACAGAGCTGGACTCCCTGAAGCCGACAGTGACCTCATCAGACGCTTGTAGACATGATTGCAGATGTTTGTGCTGTAGCATCCTTTCTAGAATTTTTCTCTAGAACTCCTTTCCTTACTTTGTCTTACCTGCAGCTTTTAGCGCTTTTTTTTTCTTTTTCTGTTGCTAACCAGCATACCGTACCCCTATCTGCTCATGCTTGAATCTGTATGTCGTTTGTCATGCTGCTTGCAGCGACATTGGCTGAAAATTTCTCCCGTAGTATCTGAAAAGCTATCGTGACAGACTATTTCCGAGAATGATTTAAACAGAGAAGTACCGAAGCAAAATCACGGCGGCGTGTGTCGACAGGGTTAAAATCTTATTTGTATTTAAAGCTCCGTTACGGTTTCCAGGCTAAAGCGCACAACTCAGACCTCTTCAAACATCTCATACAACAAACCAACATGAAGAACAAGCACACATCAGAGGCCTCCTGCTGTGGACCTGCTGTGGAGCTGTTGCCAGTGTCTCAACAAACAAAACAGCACTTGAACACAACACATACATATAAAGGCCATGAACAAACAAGACCACGTAGATAAAAAAGGATGATTTTTTTTTACTTTTCTTGGAAATAAAGTTCCTTTGTGTTTCTACATACCGGCTTATTCTGAATCATAATAACCGTTCCAAGTGGTCATGTTCTAAAGTTGTTACTCATTAAGAAATGGAGATGAGATTGCATGCTAGCTAGTTAGCTTGTTAAGCTAGCTGGTTCCTTTTTTTGTGGTCACTACCACCCTCTTTCTTGTGCTCTCATTTGCTGTCCTGAACATCAACACAGAGACCCAATGCCAATTTGAAATACCTTTAAACATCTGAAAACCAACAGTCAATTGAGCCCCAACAGCAGACTGTGTATGCAGAAAATTTGTGAAAAACACTTCCTCCATTTTTTAAATGAAATCAGTCAGAACACCATCTAATAGTTTGATGTTTCCAAAACTTTTTCTCAATGACTTCATTCCAAAGGGGTTAAAAACAAAGGAAGCTAAAGGCTTAGTGTGAGCCACAGGAGGGAGTCAGGCAAAGGTAAGTCCTAAGGAAGGCAGCGAAGTGGTTTTTCAACACTCACACTCACACAAAACAATTGTATGTTAATTCTGGTCGGTCACCACTTCTACCAAGAGAACTACAACACGAGACACCACTGGATTTGTATTTTGGTTTATTTCGTTATATTTTTTTCTATGCTTGTGTTGCCAAAATGCACACTTGTAAGCACTCCACAACAGCTTTGCAGGTTACAAAAAATAGAAACCTGACCACCTACAGAGACAGAAGCCATCAAAAGCTGTTTCTATTAAAAGAGAAAAAAAGACAGATGCATAAAATAATGATCGACAATGCTGCAGAGGTACAGCAGGGCATGTGAGATAAAATAGAGACGGCGGTGTCGATTTATAGCTCACCTTTAACTATTTTATGTGTTATTGTTATACTTGCAGTGTAAAATCAATACTGGAGGTAATTTAGATGGCCCTTTTCATGACCTCTTAACCAGATTAGTTACCATCTTTCAGCATTATTCGGAAAAACATGATCTACAAAGCCTCCAGCACAGCACCGTGGATTCTGGTTTTTGAGCTTCACAACTACGTGCCGTGCATTTTTTACCATGTCCGTTTTTTTTTTTTTTTTATGCTTCTAGGATGCTATGAGTTGCACAGAACATGTTGGATCTTTCCAAATCTCACTCTGCCTGGTTTCTGCTGTTTCTTCTGAGCTCTGACAAGTCTGAAATGAAAAAAAAAATGCAGGCTGTTCCAACACATTTCAAGCTTGTGAGTGACACTGGTCCATGTATGTCTGCTGTGTGGATGTGAAAGGGGGCATAGCTGTGGAGATAGAGAGACAAGGGGTCAGGTGGAAGCACAAAGGAACGACAAAGGAAGGTGTGGGAACACGGGATGGTGTTTCGGGGCAGAGCTGTCAGTGATGGTGATCCCTTCCCCTTCTTCTCCTTCCCCTCCTTGTCCTCTCCCTCTCATTTCATCACCACAGAGGGAAAAGAGATGGAGCATTTCGTCTGCCGGAGGTGAAAAGAACTCCTTGAGTGTAAGTAGAGGGGTTTCTGGCCAAGAGAGAGGGATGAGTTTGGGCTCTTGGGCAAGGAGGGAATGGAATCGGGCAAAGATGGCGAAAGGGAATAGATGCACATGCAGTAGCAGCCCAATCGCCTCAGCTTTCCAGGGATAAAGTCGGGCTTAACTGCAGCATTACCCACACTCCTGCATTACAAAATGTTACTTTGCCAGCATTTAGCATGCAAATTGGCTCCCAGATTATACCTTTTGTATGCATTTTACCAACTGTCAGACTGTGACAGGAGGAGAATGATAATCAGGCAGAGATTGCCCCCTAGTGCTTTGCTGACGACACACTTCTTAAGCAGGATCTCTCCTGTCCACCAGATGAGGAGATAGAGTGGAACACAAAGGGTGTAAATCATTCTTAAAAAGTAGGTTCTGTTCATGTATTTTCAGTAGCTACAATAGAACAACATGAGGATTTTTAATGCAGAGGATTAAAAGGATGGAATACAAGGATAGTCAGGAGAAGATGGTTCTGAAGGAGACCTGTGGTTTTGCTTTCTACTCCATATTCTGACTCTCACCCTGTAATTCTGGATTGGACTGGGTTAAATGACCATCGTTCATCATGGTCACATTTTAGTTTGGCACTTTTCCTCATCAGTCCCTGGTCAGATGAGTTTAGTCGCAACAGAAGCCTGATTAGGTTCGGATAACTTCAGGACTTGAGATCAAATACAGAATGTCACTCATGCTTGGCTAAATTTGATTAAGAAAACCGAATCCATCAGAACAGAGATCGAATCGAGACTGTCCTCCTCCCAAAAGTGAGTCGCATTTTTCAATAGGCAGAAATACATGTCTGATAATAAACCCTCTCTAGTGTCTTTGAGAAACACTTCATGTTAATTGTGAAATGAAAATGGAATCAAAGAAAAGCACGGGGTCATCATCAGATGAATGTGTTTTAGCCCCAACCATGATAGTTTTCTAACTCTTATCAAGTGGTTTAGACTTTTAACCCCAACAAAGTGTCATCAATATGGAGGACTTAGTAGTGGGGAAGGTATTTTGGCTCTCGATGTTTTTGGAACCTCAGTTTAATGCAGTTAAACGTTATATGTGCCATTTATTCAGTTGCATAGCACATAAACAGATGTAGATGTAAAAGGTAAGTCAATCTATAGATCTCGACTGAGAACATGTTGTATATAACACTGTCGATAGTGACATAAAACTGTGTAACAGAGCTTTGAATTTTCTAGTTTTATTGTTCTGTATTGACCCACACTGTAGATATTTATGTATATATGTGTGTATGTGCATATACACACATTCATACAGTTTTTTTTTAGAGCCCTGGTGTGTGAAAGTGGTAAACAAAAAAAAATAAACGTATTAAAAAAAAGGAGCCGTATTCAAACCTACTGATAAAATGTTTTCTTTTTAGATTAAACAACACCTCAGGCATGAAAAGAGGCGAGCCACTCTGGTTGAGACACCCGAGGAGCATTATTTGCTCCTAAACTGTCTACATGAATGAGAAAATTAAAATATAGAGCTGTTAACATTAGAACCAGCTTATGTGGGGACAATGTTAGCTTGTACCATCAACTCCCAGCTTTGGAGCACAGTTCAAATTCAGCAACAACACTAAGTAATGTTGATTTTATTTCTTTACCTATCTCATCTGAACTCAGTTAGAGATTTATTTGTCTACCATGTATCATGTTGGACTAGGCACAGAGAAAAACCAATATTCTTTTTTTTATTTTGTGATCATCTTCATGCATTGATGAAAGAGCTAAAGGGAATCAAACCATTATGCCAGGAAGAGGTGGCCAAAAACATTCTGAATACACTTTATTTTGGTTATAGATTTAGAATATAAAATGTACTCCTCGTGATCTTGATCCTCTGTGTTCGTAAAGAATATTGACTTTTGTGAAGTCTAGAAACCTCCCAAACAGCTGGGTTCATTTGTATGCGGAAAATGGCCTCGAGGTGTTTGTCTTGGTTCTTTGTCTTTGTATGTTTTTCTCCATCAAGAGTCATCCGGGCTAATGACCCATGTGTCTCTATCCAATTGTGTCCATGAAATCATTCTGTGAGATCTCAAAGATAATGAGACCAATTTGAATAATGGCCTTTATCTGGTGCATCATGCCACCTCAGATTCTGTTTTTGGCTAATCTCCACAACATGAATTTTGCTTAACATGGATCATGGGAACACTTTACAGACGGGATGCAGTAATTACAAATTGAAGCATGGGAGGTTTTTCGTATATTTTTCTCTTAACATTGGTAATTGTGGGGGTATGTGTAAGATAAAGGAGCATTTCTGCAAATTAGATAACAAAAGTAGATCTTTATTAGTAATAGAATTATGGCCTAGTGTCTTACACTTATGCAATGTGCTCCCCTTTTCAATATGCTAGGTTCAAAGAAATATCAAAGAGGAGACCACTATGTTATCCTGAGCTGCTGATTTGTTGAGTTTAGTAACTCTCCAAAGAGGCTTTTGCAGAGCTCTAAGAGCCAGGAAGTGAGCCATTATCTTGGAATTTTGATAACAAGGTAAAAAACTATTAGACAACAGTTACTTAACTTCAGTCTCAGACAGCTGAAACGCTTCTCCTCTGGTTTCACTGTTGGTTCGGGCTGTCTTTCCTTTTGGTTGTAATTACCACTGTTTATGTGGAACACACAGTCCCTTGATCGTTTTACATAATAACCCCAGTACGGAAAATATCATGGTTTGGGTTAAATTACACCATTTGAAAATGTCAGCCACATTTTGGAAGGCACTGATACCAACACTTACCGATTTTTAAAAGAGAAAAAAAAACAGCAAAGAATGACTACAGTCTACACATATTAAGCATTTTGTGAATAACACAGTACATTGCAGTTTATTGTGATTCTAAAAGACATTTTTAGATTAAAATGCTGGTAGGATTTTAATTTTTTTTTTCTTCATATTTCCAGATTTATACTAAGTTACTTAGTAAAAGATGAAGAAATCCACATACTTTGTCAAAATGTGTGTTTTCAAAAAATGTTCTCAATGAAGGTGATAATTATCTGACAAGAAGTCTTTCTGCAAAGTACAAAAGTTCTAACTTAATCAGTGGAGAGTATTGTTTTTCATCAGTCCAAATTTCAAATTTACTGTTTTCTTTCTAAAACTAATCTAATATTATCGCTTTTTGAATGTATACTTCATAAAGAGGAGTCCAGGAATGACTTCAGACTGTTTTGAGTCACATTTCTTCATTTATCGTGGTTTTTCTAGCCTGTTTGCCAGGGGCTGTAAAACAATTTGGCCGAGCTGCAGATTTAAGAAGAGATAATAGGTGGTATTAACCTTTAATGTGGCTTTTAGAGAGGCAGCTCATAGCTTACCTCTGAAATATTGAGGCTTTTCTACGAGATTCCAAAAGCAGCAGTGAAGGTCGGCCTTATCAATGCAGCCTATATAGTGCTCCAGTGCACGTTTGCAAATGCAGAGCAGTGAATTTTCGCAGTAATTTTAGATATATTCTGATACCTTTTGGGCTGTTTGATCCGAAATCTGGATAGTCGATCAATTGTCTATTTTTGTAACTAAACAACCAAAGCATAGACTATCCCTGTTATTAATTCAGGTTCAATAAAAGTGTAAAAATATGAGAACCCGGTTTGAAAAAAAAATCTTTAGCCGCAGGTTCCATGCGGCCCCTTGGCTGACCGATAGCTATCCCTAACAAACCGTCTTCTTCTTCTTCTCCTCCTTATCAGGACAAGTCAACCCCCGAGGATCAGACTTCATGGGACAGCTTCAAGACAATGACCCCTGAGCTGTCCATTGTGCCTGGGGAGCAGAAGGACCGACTGGAACTGCACAATAAGAACTGGGACTCGTCCTCAGCGGCGAACACGCCAGAATCGTCCGAGGGAGACTTCCAGACTGAAGTGTAGAGACATTCAAGCGTACAGTCACTCGCTTGAACACGCAGAGATGCACACAGAGACACTGGACTCCTGAAAGGCTATACGTTTTTCCTTCTTTCTGTTTTTTTTCTTCTTCTTTTTTTTTTCCTCACACCCCTCTGCTCCGCGTGTCCCTCGACGCTCTCCGTCGGATCCTACACTGTATTTGTTTACCGCTGCAGAGGACAGACATGAAAGGAACACCGTTCCACTCTATATTTTTTGCAAAGACTATTGAAAAGAAAGAACAGGGGCTGGACACGTCCGTGACTGAAGACAATTTTAAGTGAACTATAAAGAGAGAGAAAAAAACAGTACGAAAAAACCCATTTTGGAAAGGAGAAAAAAAAAATGTCTTGATTTTATTCTGGAGAGAGAAAAAAAAAGGGAAAATGTCTTTCAATTGTTTGATGATTGGGATCGGGGTGGTGTGGGCGGGGAGAGAAAATATGAATATTTCTGCACCGTTCAGTTCTTTTTATAGCAAGGTTAAAAGATCTCACTGAGGTTTTCCCACACTGGTAGCCCCCAAACCCCCCAAGGCAAACTTCTTTCATGAGTTATTTTTTCTTCCCTTCTAATGGATGATAAAAGCATCCAGTCCCTCCGTCTTTCTCATATGCTTTTTTCCATTACGTGGCGTGGATGGACAGGGAATGTCTATGTTTGTGTGAGGGTGGGGGGGTTCAGCCTCTCATCGAAATGTGCCAACCTCTCACCTGTCTTCAGGTTCCAGCTCAACTACACCCATCCCATCCCTCTCACATCCTCTGTGTGAGGACTCTTTTGTTTTTTTCTACTTTCCATATTTTAGTTCAATGAAAAATTCCCCCCCTATCCCCCATGGTTGAAAAAGAAAAAAAGAATGCAGTGCAACTTAAACAAATAACTACCCCCTGAGTTGCATTCTCTGCTCTGGCTGTTTCGGGAAGGGACAATTTATTCGAAACCCGCTTGGTTTGCACTTGTGCTGTTTGCTTTTATTATTCGTCCACCTTTTTTCTTTTCATTTTCGAGGAGAATTAACAGCTCATAAACGCGAGTTCGCCGGCTGAGATAACGTGGGAAAGATTAATCAGATTTCTCCTTTGTTCTCGCTCCGCCGTGAGGAGATAAAAAGCCTTTAAAGGTTGCAGTGTCTCAATCCATTTCAGCCATCACCAGCGACTGTGGTGTCAGAAAGGATTTCATTTATGCTCCGAATGGAATTCCACAGGAGCTCGCCTCTCAGCCCTGAAAAAGTTTTCACTCTGATTTGAGTATTGATCAGCTTGGAGGCCAACTCTGAGGGAAATATTGTCAGTCTCGCCAGCTGGTAATTTGCGAAACGAGATATCAGTGGAGCTCAAGAGCTTCGTCGTGGAATTAAGAATTAAGTCCTACAAATATGCCTTGATTTGTTTATAGCTGATTTCCCAATGGCGCGCGAGTCTTAATTCCTCCCTGCATGGCTGCACCTTGCAACCGCACGTGCAGCAGCTGCAGAAAAAGAGAGCACGGGATGGAAAGATTGAGAGGGAGAGGGAGTCTATAAGGTGTCAAGACTGAGGAGGAGCCGGCGAGGACGCTTCCTGCTTGACATTCAGCGTCCATGCTGTGGCGGAGTCTTCGACTACGTTCAAAGCAGCTGCCATTAATCTAACAGCCGAGACACAGAGATGAGAGACCGGTGGCCAGGAAAGACAATCTAAAAATACAGACGGGGAAAAAAAAAAAAAAAAAAAACTTAGGGGGGGTAGAGATTTGGGGGGGTTGGGGTTGGAGAGCTGAAAACAGTAATTATCCAGGGATGACGATTTGTCCTGACATTTTCCAATGCAGCCCTCGAACCATCTGTTTAAAGATCCCTAATGTGGTAGTAGAGCAGCACAGCGCAGATGGTGAGACCAGAGTGCCGCCCTTCTAACCTTTCAAGCTAATCAGCTGATGGGCAAACCTACGGCTCACCCTCCTCTCTCCGAGGAGCGAGATTGGTTTGAACCCGAGATGGCGAGATGGGGTCACATTCACCTGACCTTCTGTGAGGCTCAGGACCCAGATCCACTGAACAAAAGTCGCCGTCTGGCTTCCGCACAGCCGCGCTCGCTCAGTATCTGTGAGCTCCATAGCATTTTCTTTTTTTTGTTCGTGCTGCTGTAAAACTGATCCATTTAAAATGGGGGTAAAAGTCTCTTTCCCAAGGTAACCAAAAAGGGAAACTAGCAAGAAGAAAGAATCTTTAAGGTTTGAATTAGATCTTTCTGTTCCATCAGCCAGATTTTTCATGTTATGTGAACAGTTTCCATCTCAGAGATGGATGCTTGTTCCATTTTTCATCTCCCATAACGGTAAGTGAGATGCTGCTTGACTGACTGAAAGATGCACCCGGCTGTATATCTGTCTATTTTACAGATTCCCTTTCCTATGCTAAACTCTGCTGCCTCACTAATCCTAACAGAGCGGTGGACGCTTGTCAGGCTCCCAGCGTATGTTTGTGTTAAGTTCTCTTCCTTTTCTGTATTAAAAGCTTGCCAAACTCGACAGAAATGTGGAACACAATGAAGGCAAATTAGCAACCCATCACCAGGTAGAAGTCAGAGACCTTCTGTGCTCACCGTCACTCTCCATTCCTCAGCCTTTAACTGCTCAAGTGTTAACTGACTTCTGCTGGGGAAAAAAAAAAAAAACAACCCTCCCTTTCTCCTTCATTTCTGTTCTTTTTATACATAAGATTGTACAAAGTAGTCCTCTAATGTTTTCATAGTGTCTTTTTATATGAAAATAAATTTTCAAACCGAGTTCGGTGTCTCGTATGTGCTGCCTGTAGGGCGTCTGCTGAGGCGAGCGTGGAGCCTCTCCCTTGATTTGCAGGGTACTCGTAGCCCCATGTTTTCATAATGTCGCTCTGGGAGTCGACCATGACAAACTCTGTTACCCAGAAGCACTGAAGCTTAACTGTAACCAATCACAGCTCCCGCTGGTCTGTGTGAAAATGTAAGGGGAACAGCTCTTTTGGTTTGAAGCTCAGTTGCAATGGAATAACCAAAGGGGAGAAATGCCAAGTCAAAGTGATTATTTTCTTTTAAAAATGTATAAACCTTGAGCCACAGTTATGCTAATAGCTTTATTTCCCCCTCTTTAATGTAAACTGGCCAAATTGCCACAGACGGCCGGCTTTAATTGTCCACTCTCCAGTGCTGGAAACAAAAGTACGAGAGGAGGAGGAGGATGACGTGATGGACGTCTCAGTCCCTCAACTTGTGCCCTCCAAGGGGATTGTGGGTAATCAAGTGTGGATGAGTCTTCCTATGAAGCTGCCATCAGTCACCCCACAGAAAGGCCACCAACTGAAACCTTCTCATCGAGTATGAGGGATAAATGAGAGGTCAGAGGAGGAGGAAAATGGAGAAGCCTAGTCCAAGGATGAAATGTCTGGAGATGGAGGTAAAGCAGAGGAGGGGTTTGCACATTTACCTCTGGCAGAAGACACCCTGCTTTTTGTGTTTTGTTTTGCCTCTCCAAATGCTTTTTGGCAATTAAGGTGTGACCTAAAGAAGCACTCTCCTGGCAAGCAATACAGGGAAAAGTCCCTTACACTGCGCAGAGTTGGCATCTTTAAAGGTTTTTAGTACTCAGAACAGCAAGTTTGGGAAGTTTTGATATTGCTGAGGCAAACAAAACAGTCATGCAACGAGTTCCGCTGTGGGCTGCAAATAATGACACAGCCAGCACATGTAGGGGTTGTACTTTGCATTTATAGCAAAACTGATAATCCACAGAATCTCCATTGTTTGTTTTGGCCCCGGTCTGGTAACATGCAGCAACTGTCGTCCCGTTTCGTCTTGCTGTTCCCCTAGATCACTGCACAAAAGGTGGCATGGCAGCACTGTGATGTCACCGCCTATAAGCAGCTCCTCAGAAGCCAGGAGAGTCAAAAGAAGAGGAAGCAGAAATTAAAAAGAAAGAATTGTAAATAAGAAATATGTTCACTCATATGACGCATGCCATTCCGAACTAGGGTTATATCAGGTTTGGAATGTTTATTGCTTTGGTACGTCTGCTATGACGGTGGTGGCTTTCCAAATGAACTCCAAAATCGCAAGTAAAACACCAACAGCACGCGCCCCCATAGACCTGAATTTCTTCACCCTGTCTCACCAGAATCTTTTCTTTGTTGCATCAGGTCAGTTGCATCAACACAATTTTATAAATCCCTGTCATTCTTTGGCATGAATTTGTGTCCATCTTCTCTGACAAGTTATTCCAAGAAGCGGGTCATTTTACTTCTTATTTTTCCCCAAGTCTTGAAGAGCTTGCTGATCCTCACCTTTAAAATAATCTCTCCCTCTCAGCATTTAAAATGTCCATACAAGTGTTGAGTTAGGACAGAGGTAGTGTTCCAGTGATGGACCAGTGAGGCTAAATTTGCATACGCATACTTACATTTGCTTCGATCCATCTGTGCCAGCATGAGGGTTATAACACTGTGGATGGCAAACACCACCTGAGGTAGGGTTGGAATTATAACTTTGCTTACAAGCACAATCTGGCAAGAGCTAGAATCGCACACTTGATTGAATACAGTGCGACATCTTCAGAGACGTTAACCCTAACTAATACATATCCATTTTTGCAGAGGGCCGGTGAACCCATGGACAAGTATTTATACACAGGAGGATTCGCAACATGAAAGTACATGATGGAGACGGCCTCTAAGTACCTTAGTTTCTTAATGCAGTTTGAGAAGGCAAAAAAAAAGTACAAGGAAACAAGCAAAACCAATACTTTGGGGAGGTTAAAGCCAAGTATCAGTCTGGGTGAAATGATGTTCCTCTGGAATGTTGTATTCAGCGAGCTGTGAGAGGAATAGCATGGAACGGTCATGCAAGGAGGAAGTTTTAGTCCTCTGACGGGAGAGAGTAGCATCCATTGCTCTAATGGCTGTGGCATGTCTTGCTGTCCCTCCTCTGTGGCTAACAGATGGTTTTGTCCCACAGGCTCTGATGCCATGCTGCTCTGAGAGGACACTTTGAAAGGAGCAGGCTGATTCGAACAGAGGGTGGAGTGGACAAGGCCAGAGTGGAAAAGATCAATTAGAAGTCAAATTCAGAGTCTGGAGATAATTGGGGAAGGATTTCTTGAGGATTCAAAGTCATGCAAAATAACCCCAAAACCGCCTCACAGGTTAAAGCTACGAATTATCGGTTGAGCTCATGGCTACACAGAGCTTCTTTTCTGATGCTTGACCAAACAGCTTATTCTCCTCTGTGCTGTAATGCATCAGATCCCAAAGTGCTTCATGATGCCAGCACTGCAGTTTTGGCCCAGCGCTCTGGTGCTGATGGCACTGCCAGGCTTCTCTTTTGAGACCGCATTTCAACAATGATTTTAGATTGCTGTCCATATGAAATGCCCTTACTGTCCCTCATCCAAATTCTGGCCCTGTTAATCCACCGAGTGTTTCCATCCCCATCATACAGATTGGGATGAGACAGAAGTGGTCTTTGACACTTTGAGGGTTATTTATTCATAGCTGAAGTAAAGGACTCATTGAAGCTTCGTTTGGCTCTACCTTGCTCTCTCCACAAAGCACTCTACACATATCATGGCAGCCTACATTTAGAGGCAATGAATAGCCTCTCCACACTGCCAAGGGCTTCTCGAAACACTGGCATAATTTAGTAGTGGGCTTCAGCTAATGCAATCCACCACAGCCTCCATCACAAGAGGACAAACCCAGAAAAGCAACGATGAGGACATGGTAGATGGTGA